GAACTACTTTGACAATATTCAGCAGAAACCTCTCTTCCGCAGACCTCAATCAAGTATCGGTAATGCAGTTTATCTCCTCGGCAGTTACTGCATCAGGCAGTGTTAGACAATATGTCATCATTATTGCTTTGTGGTACCAGAAATTTATGAAGTTTGTCTATGTACAAGCTACATTAGAAGAACGTGGCATGTGGTAACGCTTAATGTGTTGGTATGCTGTGTATTCTCTAAAAAGGAGAACTTGTTTCTTTCGGTAGCTTGTTGGCAAGTTGAGTAAGTTTTTATACTACCCCATTTCAGAGATAAATCTTTATGCTACTTTGAAGCATAAACAAGACTGTGGCAGGATGGTATCGGTCAGCTGAAGGGCTGTCATATTTCAAAATTAAATATGGTTCACCAAACTAAAAGCTTTCATGTTCAGCCTCAGACATAGCATGGAATCTCATTGGTGTTAACAAATGCCTTAAATTTACTGGTTTTCATCACTTTAACTGCATATTATATGCCCTGTAAACTCCATTACTCTACCAAAGATGTATTTAGTCATGCAAAGAAATATTTAAGGCAATTATATCAAATTTCCCTCTCCAGAAGAGTAGTCATAGAAATAATTCATAGTACTGCATGAATATTAATATATGAAAAGTTTGTTTAAGTTGAAGGGAAATAAGAGAGGTTTATGCAAATAACATAAACATTCTGAAGACTGTGACATTTTAATTGAAAAATAATTTTCAGTCTTTTCATTATTTGAAAGTATTGAATTAGTAAATTTTATTAAATGCTTTTGGAAAGGTGGGTAATTAGGAGAGTATTTTAACTTTCTGCCCTTCAGCTTAATGAGTACAAAATGTGCTCATGGAGTATAAAACTAAAGTATTATCATGTTTGTGTTGGAAAAGTTAGATTTAAAATTGGATATATTTTTGTTTAGTATTTTTCAACAAAATAGCCCTGCTATTGAAGCAGTGAACTGCCTGTAGAAAACTTCATGTCCCAGATCTATCACAGTCCTTCCTGTTTGACCTTGCTGTGTCATCTTTCCTCTAAAGGAAGAGGTTAACTGTATTTTTTTTCCTACCTTGAATTTTAATTGTTTGCATGTATTGCATCTAGGAAAAGGTAATTCTGATTTCCATCTCATTCTCTAGATTTTAAGGGAATATAAATTGTATGTTATAAACAATTGCTACTAAGACTGATTGAAAAACGCATTTATGGATTTTGAGGATGTTTTGTGTTTGTTCCAAAAGCCAAATATTTTTACTTTCATGGAGATGAAAGGCACTCTTTCTGGAAGGGAAATTATTATTTTTTTAAACATCTGGTTTTAAATATCTGTGAGAAAATAAGCAAATCAGAGCCTGAATCAAATTCAGATATGCTTACATTTTTTGAGGTAGTACCTAGAAGCAGATAAAATATATTAGGTCATTTTTTTCATCTTCCACAGACTGGCTCTTAGCACTTCATTACTGAAACAACTTCACATGTGAAAAGAGCACTCCTTTCACACTACTTTGTCCTCAAGCCTCCCATCATTTTTGACCAAGGGAAAGGCCTGGCACATGTCAAGGATACTTGCAAGTACGTTAAGAATCTACAGTGAGAGTAGGAAAAGGAAAGGTTGTGCAGACAGTTGAGGTACCATAGTCAGAAGGACACACTGGGAATACTTAGGAACAAAGATTCAAGGAGATTTTTCATTGATCCTAAGAGACAAAATATTAGTATTTTTAGGAACTTTTCCTCTGCTGTTCGAGAAATAGGATTTAATTGTGGACAAAGAATTTTGAAAGGAGGTGTGAACAATCTGAATAATAAAAAGAACCCCAAGACATCTGCTCATGTGTTGGGCATTAAACCTATGGACAGATTTCAGGCAAAATGACAAGCACCAGTGATTACATTTTTATTTACTGAACTTCCTTCTAATGCATCAGGTGTGATCCATTACTCAGGACTGTCTAAATGACTACCTTACCATATTTCATGCTACTCTTGATATCCAGGGTTTGTTGAGGCCCTGGATCAATCTCTTTTAATGATATTTTTGAAATACATTTTGCATTACATTTGTAGAGGTTTACTGTATTTTTCTGCTTTGCAAGACTAATATCTGAAACAAAGTGATGACCACTCTAAGCTAGACAGAACTTCCGTTCCCAGAGGAATATGTAGGCTTCCTTACTCCTATAAACGAAAAAAAATGACCTTTCTGCATTCTGTTCTGTCACTCTTACATGAGCAAATAGATTTAACCTGCCCACCACAGGATGCTTCAGAAATGCCATATCTACTCAGTGACTTCACTGCAAAGTCGCAACTTTTAGCCAACAATTCTTTTAATTATACAACACAGAACAATAAATTGCTTAGTGAGGATATTTCAGGCAACTGGCAGACAAGACTGTCCATGCTCCCAGGTTTATTACCAGTGTAGGTGTTTATTTCCCACCCTTTTCCTTCCAGGTCAGTAAATTCTGGTAGAGGATCATTTACACTTTCTATGATTTGTATTATCCAAGGCTATAAACTTTACAAATGAATGGGGCAAGCCTTGGCTGCCTAGTTCTCTGGGTCTTGCTGCTACAGTACATCCATCTTATTTACTTGCTAGCTTTTAAAAAGGCAATGAAGCATTGTGACTCCATGAGCAACATTAAAATATTTAGATTTATCCCTGTGACTGACACTGATACCATCATGGATGCTGATATCTGCAGTAGCTGTGATTTCTTGTTGCTCTACATCCGATAGAATTATTTACAGCATGTGTATGAGAGACTCTCAGATCAGAAAATTTACTTTTGTACTATTTTGAAAAGTTTTAAGTGATCTGATGAGATACAAGTGCAGAAACGTATTGGTGCTCTCATTTGTTTACCTCTCCCACTGGCAAGGTGCGTATGGGTGATTGTACAGGTCTTAAGAAAAGCTTGTAATCTATTCTCACAAAGTATGAATGTGAATTGCACAAATTAATCAAAATATTGCAAGAATGAACTGTATATATTGCCATTTTGGTTTGCAAATTTGCCACAAAGTTCTATCAGTGTTTTCAAGAACTCTGGAAGGTGGGATAAATAGGAAGCTTCTGCCATAGCCAGCAACATCATGTTTGAGAATCTGTGTGGAGAGCTGTACAATAGTGACAGAGAGAGGATTGTCTTTTTCCCACCTGCCCCAGCCAACTTTTCCTGAACTGTTGTCCTGCTCTTCTGTTACACCAGTCTGTGGAATGGGTCAAATGAATAAAAGAGACTCAATTTGCTTTGAAAAAGTTGTTCCTTGTTTGTGGAAGTCCCTTCTGTTTCATTCCCTTACATGGTCAGCATGCTGAAAGCATTCATCTCTCTCCAGGTTGGTGATGGCACACAGCAGCTGAAGCTGGCACACTGCTCTGGTCATCAGCAGGATGCAGGTGTCTGTCACACAGTGGCACTGAAGCCCCAGTGTATCTATCTCATATGAAAATTTACAATCAATTCTTCAACTCCATAAGCCATATTTTAGATAAAATTTTTTGTCCTCTATAAAGGAGCAGAAGGAAGGGGCTAAAGTGGAAACTACAGGCTTTTGTTGACTGATTGTTCCCACACTGAACTTTACACAGGAGCTTGGCTGATGATGTGCTTTTCTCATGTGTTTTGAGAACAGGGACATTCACCTTTCACAAAAAGTGTCAGAGAAGCTCTAATAACAAATGCCCTTATGCTGAGCATATAGCAAAATAATGCACTGAAAAAACAACAAATAAACATAAAAATTGAGGTCTGGTTCTCAAGCTTCAAGAGTTTGCTCTAGTGAAGTACGAAAATACTGGCTTACAAATCTATGCAAATCCACACAACCAAGGCACTGACAACTAATGTAGTCAATAGTGAATGATGATATTATACTCTTGCAGTTTTGACCATGAAATGGTGTGGTGGTTTGGGCTAGGCCTTCCTTGGCGACCAGTTTGTAACCAAGGAAGGGTCCAGATTTACCCAGTATTCCCTACGATTTTTACGTAAGCCAGGCTATAAGAAGAAAGGAGGAGAGGCCTTTGCTCTCTTTCCTTCCGGCGGCTTGGAGGTGCAGGTTCCCTGCTGTTGAGTCTGTCGTGTTGGGGAGCGAGGCCTGGTAAGGCCTTGTCGACCTTGGGAGACGGAGGTTGCCGGCGATCGTTTCAGCGTGACTCTCCGTTGTCCCAAGGAGAGTAGTGAGATATTTCTTTTGCTAATTTCTTTTAGTTGCTAGATCTCGGGCTACTGGTTGGGATATATATATATATATTTGGTTTTGTTCCTTTTCCCTTCCCCCTTCCCTTTCCCTTGGGAAATTGTATATATATTTCAATTGTATATAACTGTAACATAAGTGTAAATATATTTATATATATTACTTTAGCTGTCTCTCTCTCTTTTCGGGCAGGGAGCCAGCTTCAAACCATATCAAATGGGTTTCCTTCGAAATCATGCATATATCCTAGAGTCTTAAAGCTGTCTGTCGATATCACTACTCATCTTTTTCTGACTGTGATTTCAAGTTTGCCATCTCTACTTGTGTTTTCAAGCCATAGGGCAGGATTTTCAAGAAGACAGTTGAATGTAGTTAAGTTAAGCTTAAATTTAAATTTTTTAGCTTTGTAGAGTCATAACCTTATGCTGTCTTTCATGACTCTTTGAAATGAGGAAGAGATTTTTGCTATATATTTCAGTACATCTAAATAGCGTTTTAGGCTCCTATTCATAGACGAATTTCCTGATCAAAAAAAATACGTATTTGTGATAGATGCATTACTTTCCATAAGTGTCATTCTTTCTTCATTTAAAATTTAAAGTATGATGATAACTATCTTAGACTACATGTATAAGTTTTTGATGGATAAAGTTAGGTGAGACGAAACCAACCTCAAACATCTGATTCAAAAGGTTTTAAAGTCAGCAGGGAGTTTTCCATGGACTGCTTAAGGTTTGGATCATTCCGTTGGATGAGCTCATAATCCTGGACTTGAACATTCTACCTGCTCTTGGATGTAACTCAGAAGACTCCAAAAGGAAAGTGTGGTTTTGTGGAGCATTGAGAGCAAGGTTTATCATTGCATCTAACCTTCCCAGCTTTGTTTGCCATTTTCCATTACAGCTTGTTTGACTTGCTTTATCAGGTGTTGCATTTTGTGTGCATGTTGTTGCCAGTGCAGCTTGTTTACCTGTTTATTGTCCCTCAGAATCTTATAAAATCAGGTTGTTGCATCCCAACAAGATTGAGAAAATATGTGATTAGTTCAATGAATTTAACACAGAGGGAAGTATTTTATTTATTGGGGGGTTTTTTTGCTATGTGTTTTATTGAGAGGCAGGGACATATCTTCATATTAGATGATGGCGAGATGCTTTGCCCTTTGTTTTTCCGAGCTGGAACTTAATCCTGTCATGCTTTGTTTCTTACTATCATATCTTAGGTTGAAAACTCTTCAAGAAAAATCTATTTTTTGATATGTCATAGTAAAGTGTTTGCAGAACTGTTTCCTAATACATGCCGAGGGCAGATCACGTTATTATCTATGAATAAAAATGATAAATCTGAGGGAACAGTAATGGCATTACAGGGCAATTTATCTACAAACACAATAATATTTTTTCTATTGTCCAACTATAACCCTGCAATCATTCTACCACATTTATCGTTACAACATTCCTTTGACACCCATGTAGAGTGCCTATTCTCATTTTATAGATACAAAACTAAGAGCACGGAGAATAATAGGGATAGCAACAGTATAGAAATTCAGATACCTAACTTAGCTAGCTAGCATCCCTAAGTTTTGGCTTTATTCAAAGGGAAAAAATGGAATTCCTTGAGGGTGATTCAGAGGAATCTTTTTAGACTCTTTTTCTGAAGTACCTTTTAGGAAAGCTTGTCTATAGACAGGTTTCCAAAGGGCTGGGACATTGACTTAGAGAGCAAGAAAGAAGAGATTGTTCAGTCTCAGCTGGTGCTCATACATGTCTGTTCCTTCCACATCCACCAGCTTGACTGGGTTTCTCCACAGTGGTGGGCTGCCTCAGTAACCCCCTGTAAGACACAGCAACCCTCCTGGAGTTTCTGTTTCTGCTTTCATCTCTTTCACTAGTGTTCTAATTGACTGCTGGCAGCAAGACTTCAGCTGAACTGGAAGACCCCTAACTTTTTCAAGCTGCTTTAGAGGTACATATTATAGAAATTTGATGGGAAAGTTAGGAGCTGTGCCTCACCATTCCATTTGAATGATCACAGACTTCAGCAAGACTTTTTTTGGCATACATTATTTTCCTAATTTTCTTTTCTTTGGCTCCAGTCTGCCCCTTTTACCCTTGTAGATATGTCTTGCATATATCTTGCATTGCTTTGTACATGCCTTGTACATACCTTGTTATGCCTTACACCACCTGGAATAAAGCATAAAAGGTGAGGAATGTGGATCAGAGCTCTCATTTCCATACTCCATTTAATGCAGAAATGTGTGATAGGACAAGCGGAAATGGCCTCAAATTTCAGCAGGGGAGGTTTAGTTTAAATACTAGGAAAAATTTCTTCACTGAAAGAGTGATTAAGAATTGGAAGGGGCCATCCAAGGATGTGGTTGAGCCACCATTCCTAGATGTGTTCAAAAAATGAGTAGATGTGGCACTTTGCTATATGGTTTAGTTGACATGGTAGTATTTGGTTGAAGGTTGAACTTGATAATCTTAGAAGTCTTTTCCAACCTTAATGATTCTCTGATTTTGTATAGCAGACAGTTCTGTGTCTACTGTAAAACAAAGCAAGTGTCATTCTTTCTTTACACTTTTTAGATTACCTGTCCCTCAATTTGCTAATCAGAATCTGGATCAGTTCTGAAAGAAAATACTGTATGTAATGATGACAGAATTTTTTTTATACTACATTTTGTCTTTCTGACATGTATTTGAAACTAGAAACATCTGTGAGTGAGGTTGAATTAAGAAGATCCTCCTTTTTATAAAATTGGTCAAATGTTTTAGACACAATCAGCCTAATCTGGCAAAATCTACTCTGTGTCATAAAGAGCAGGAACAAGTTGTCATACTTACACCTTTTGTCCTAATGATTAGTCCACATTGCAGTCTTCCACCAATTATGTAAATAAAAATGACAGAAAAACAGTTTAGGAAAAAAAGGAGGTTATTTCAATGCTATTGGGTTTTTTTTAAATGCAACAGCAGTAATGTTTTAAGACAAAAAATAAAAAAAAAGGGGGGGAATAGAGCAAAAGAGAAGTTTATGAAGAAAAAAGGGAGAAAACGTGATAGTAAGGAAGAAGAACAACAAGAGGAAAGTCAGCTGAATAATTTTTAGAGGTCGTACTGGGTGAAGCAAATTCTGCCTGAGGTTTTCTATTCCACTGAGAAAGAAAACTAGCTATCTGTCTGAATGTGCTGGAGTCAAAGAAAATGCAGAGTGCCCTCACAGGTTTAAATCATGCTAGCAAGATGCAGCTAAGACTGAGAGGAGTACAAGTTCCTCCATTTCAAAGAGGAATAAGGTGAGAAGCAGCAGAGCAGATGCTCTTCTGGAAGGAAAGACATATCATATCCATCTGAATATTAGTCTATTTAGAAAACAGCACAGAATCAAGAAAAAGAAGTTAAATCCTCCTCTTTGTATTATTGCTCCTATCCATAACATCAGTTGTACAGCCTGTATTCTCTGAGCTTCTTTTCCTGATTGGGTTTAACAGGGAAGGCAGGAATGGAGTGAACTGAGACACTTCAACAACTACATGAAAAATTGAGCTTGGGATTGTTTCACACAGAGTAATCTAGGGAGTCCCTCAAACTGGATCACTATCGTGTTGGCAGATAACAAAATCTGGACTTGGGAAGTGCTACAAAATGCTTTAGAAGATGTTAGCTTTAGTTGTTGAAAGAAGGTCTAACAATTAGTGACATTGCAATTCCTCAGAATTGAGATTTTTCAAATTAGATGTAATTATGTTAAAATTCTTCTGTAATCTGTCAGAAATAGATTATCCCTTCTGTCTCAATGAAGATACTAAGTCTCTAATAAGATGGAGTCAGAGTAGCAGCAGATGGAAATTTAATGCTGTGATGAGATGATTTCATGCTTACTTTCCAGCATGGGAGCATTTCTGAACATGGGAAAGATATTTTCTTTCTTCTTTACAGAGACGTTTAGGAACAACCTGGGTTGGTAAAACTGTAAATAATTCATTGGTTTGATCAGTAGCAAACTGGCTGTAGATGTGTCCTGTTATATCTGTAAGAACTTGTTGCAACCACATTCCTGGTTTGTCCTGAGCTTTACAATCTTTTATGATTGATGTAAACTTGTGTGACCAATGTAACATGCATTGTAGATAATGAAACTCACTCACTACTCTGGTCATTCTGTGACATGGTTGCTTTCTTTTGATAAGAATTTTGCTTCATATGCTGAATTCAATAGCGATTCAACTTTAAATAATTTTAAAAGCTAACATCAACATAGGTAGAACAGGGACTTCAAGTCTCTGAATTCACACATTTCTCTGACTGAATAACACATGACTACTTAATTCATCGTCTTTGATATGAATAAAGTGGAAGAGAAGGGTTAAGTTTTTAAATAAAGAGCTGAAGTTTAGCAGGTAGCAAGTGCACCAAAAAACCACAATATAAAATTAAATAAGATACAACTCAATGACAGAACGATGTGATTGTCAACGGTTCCTAAAATGTCCTGCTTTGTCTATTCATATTTTCTTCTTTCCCACCTTAAGCAGATAACAAAATTGCAAATTAACACCCTTAGCATCTGATGTTTAATGATTTTATTATCATGCTTATTGCGAGGGTCCTATACAACACTTTGTTGCAGTATCAATTTAGGATTGCAATCCTTATTTTAAAATGCATTTAAATCATTAGCAGACCAAAGATCATTTGAGAAGCCTGCAATCTTAATGGAACAGTTTTCTGGATTTTATTACAGACTTGCAATGTTTTGTTATTAATTCTTTACTGAAAAAAAAGAAAAAAGTAGGTGTGTCCCCCCCTTTTTTTCTTCAGGTATGATTTCTAATTCAGCAACACTACCATCATATTCCTCAAGATCTTGAAGGTTACAATTCTGTTCCCCTACTTGTAAGGGAGAGTAGTTTACTCTTTGTGTTATTAAATTGATTTCAGGACATTAATCCAGTGTCAACAAAAGTGTTCCAACTTATCCCAGATTGTTTGGGCTGACAGAATAAGGGTTGGTCTCACTACCTTGAAGTGTTAATAAGAATATATAGGCAGGCTTCGAATCAGAAGCTGGACTGACACAGACAAGAAGTCTTTGCACAAGAAGTGTTTCTATATGAGTGGCACTCCTCTGCTTTGGTATAAACTGTGTGCCTCTACTCCTCAAACTTTTTTACTGACCTTGATATTAGGCTTCGAGCTTATCTTGGTATTATTCCTGGCAGACAAATGAAGATGTAGCATCTTAGTTCAGTGTTAGGCATCTCTATCTTTTTCTGACTATGAGTCAGAGGTATGGAACAAATATTTTCAGGCTGGAAGCCTGTGCGTAACATGCTATTTAGAGACTTCCAGGAGAGTCCTGTGAAGGTCCAAAGCAAAATTGCACCGTAGGTTCTGACAGCTTGCTGACTTGTGATTGAAGACTAGGTAATACTGGAGAAGCGAAACACCAGTTCGCCAGAAAGGAAAAATACCTACTTCAGAGAATGTCCAGTGATGAAATACTGCTCTCGGCATTCAGTTCCTCCGTATTGGGGGTTTAATATGAAAGTGTCAAAACTTCTCATACAGTCACTGTTGAGCCACTTGCTCTATAGCCAGTAGAGTCCACATTGTTGTTAGACTAATACTGCAGTAGATACAGCAGATTTACAGTTGCAGATTAGTTTCCCAGAGAATTGTGGATGTGCCAGCCCTGGAAGTGTTCAAGCCCAGATGGGATGGGGCCCTGAGCAACCTGATCTAGTGAGTGACATCCCTGCCCATGGCAGGGGGGTTGGACCTAGATGATCTTTTAAGGTCCCTTCCAATCTAACCATTCTATGATTCTGTGTTTTACAGACTTGTAAATAATTTTTTTTGTTCCATTAACTGGGATGATGAGAGACACAATCACTCAGACCCAGGTAAGATTTCCAAAGGTTTCTGGAGCCTCCCCCTGAAGCTGGTGTTATGACCTGCCCTTCCAGGGAGGAGTAACTTTTGTTTTATTAATAAATCCCTTGGAGTGAATTAAAGTAAAACGATAGTAGATGATCAGTATTTACAGATAGATATATATATGTATGATTTATTTTAGAACAATTTTGTTGCAAATGAAAACAGGCATGTAGGTATGTACCATCTATAGCAGCATGGCAATATAAAGCATAAAGGTATTGCAAAGGAAAACAGCCATTTTAGTTGTAATATAGGAATGTAAAAACATAAAGTTATCACCAAGAAAAATGTGTAAGGGAAAACAGAGAAAGAAAGAGAGAAAGAGTACCCAAGGAAAAGAGACAAAGAAAGAGAGAAAAGAATAAAGGTTATAGTCACCACTCAAAGGTCTCTGGTGAACTTGGTTGTTGTCCCTGGTGACTCGGTCCATCCGGGAGTGGTGGGGGAGAGAAACCCTCAAAATACAAAGTTTGATGGGTTTAAATACCCTGAGAAACTCTCCCGGTGCCTTCCCACGTGTGTGGGGAGGGGCTGTTTTTGCAGAGGCATGATGTTTTTGCAGAGGCTGGAGCTGCTGTCTTTTTGCAAAGTCATTTAGGCTTGGGGAGGGGGTGCTTTGAAGACACCCCTGCTAAGAGGCCTTCCCGAGGGTAGTAATGGGTGTGTGCATACAGGGCCCCTTTTGACGCTGCTGGCTCATAGGAGATAAACATCACATACCCAGAGAGTGCCACTAGTTTCCTTTAGATAAACATCACACTTCTAAACAAGCATCACACCCCCCAAGACTTCTTCCCTAGGGACTCACAAATCTATCAGTTTGTGGGCTATGACCTCCTCCCCTCAGCCTTACCTTCAATCTCCTGGCAGTGGCTTCTTTGGACAGCTTGTTACAGTAGCAATGTTTAATGGCAATTAAAAAAGTTGAGTTCCTGACAATTGGCATATGTGAAGCGGGACTTTTGGAGGTCTCCAAAATTTCTGTTTGTGTCTGGAGGCCAGGTGGGATGCCTTCATGTCTCTGACGTGAAATTAGACACTTAAGTGCAAGCAACTAAACTGTAGTCTGGATCTTCATTTAGTGTGTAAGGAATTCATAGAACCAGTGCACATCGACAAACCCGTGTGTACCACACATAAACGTTGTGACAGCATTCAGGCTGAGCTTCTTGAACTGAGTCTTACTGAATGCTCCTGAGGTCTTTCAGGTAGAGGGAGACTTTTGTTGTATTCCCTGGAGACCAAATTCAGGCTATGAATTTGACTGCCATATCCTGAAAGAGAAGCCTGAGAGTCTATCTGGGAGCAGTACTGTTTTGTAAAGAAGAAATTGCATATTTCTTGACCCAGGGGGAAAGATGACAAGTTACTGATTCTGCAACCCTCCAAATGTGACATCCTGTTAGAATGTGGGAAACTGCAGTTCAGTCCTCTGCTCTAATTAATTTATTAGAAGTGACCTGACCTGGCACAGTCTGTTTTAAATACAAGTAGAAACACTGTAGTGGGAATGCAAAAGTGAACTGGTATTTCTTGTAAGCTAAAGGCAGATCAAGAAAAAAGCCTGACTGAGTAATAAGACAGTTCTGCCCATAAAATATTGATTGATAGATTAATTGATGTGTTATGAGTATAGCCACTGATGTAAGTTCTCTCTTTTGGAACTATTCTTTTTTTTCTTTCTGCCAACATATTACCTCATCTACAGCAGAGATGTTATATGCAATTTATCTGTTTTAATGCTCTAAATTTTTTTCTATTTTCTGCCACATAGATTGTGATGGGTTTTTACCTATGCTGCCCTGCAACTCCCCGAAGTGGTACTCTATTTTTTGGAAAGTGGTTTAGATTTTTTGGTTGCTTGTATTATGCTGTGTCTATGGAGGCACAGCCCTTTTACAGCATCTTATCTGAAAGGGAATAGAACATATTGATACATAAAACAGACCATCAGATTGCATAAAGGAATTCCATACAATGAGGTTGACCTGCTTTTGTATCCCTTTTATCTTAGCAGTACTGAGGCACCACCTTCACTGTGAGGTAATAAAAGACTCAGTGTGATCCAGATTATTCTTTAATTAAAGGATTCTCCCGTTGCCTGGTTGAAAGATTTGGCTAATACAAGAGGAGGTTGCAGCCAGCAAGGTCTTTCACATGTAATGTATAATTGATGCATGATTCGACTGGCAGCAAAGACTCATCTTCTAAAGTTATTTTTATCAGTGCTTTCCTCAGTGTGATCTCTCTCACTGGCTTACAGTTTAATGACAAAGAGTCTTTTGAGCACAATCCTTATTTTATTAATGAGATCTTGCTCGATTTGACAAAATAATACTTCTTTCTTTATAAAAGATTGGTTGCTGCTTTTCATTTGTAGCTGATGTGCCAACATGGATATTTTTACTTATAACACCACAAATCTGGAATTATTTATTTGCTACCAGGTAGATTATTGAAGCAGTAGATGAAGATTTTAACACACTTGGACTCACTTGTTCTTGTTTGTCTATGTACTATTGGAATTTTACTTATCAGATTTACATTGATGTCATTCAGAATGAAAGGTATTCAGCATCTTGATAGTCATCTACTCAGTGTTAAGACCTGAATGAAGGAACAATCAACCTTTTCACTATTTTGTGATCTGAATACTTGTGATCTAATTTGTGATCTGGAACAGGTTTTCTAGAGAAGTTGCAGATGCCCCATCCCTGCAACTGTTAAAGGCCAAGTTGGATGGGGCTCTGAGCAACCAAGTCTAGTGAAAGGTGTCTCTGGCCATGCGTTGTACGTAGATGATCTTTGAAGATCCCTCCAACCCAAACCATTCTGTGATTCTGTGAAAGAGCGAGTAAGCTCACACAGGGTCCTCTGTTCCTGCAATGCAGGTAGCTACTGCCTGAGTGCTACAGGTATAGCCTCTCCTCTGTCTTTCAATATGCTCAGGAGAGCCAAATTTGATTACCAGTAACAAGAAGCCTAAGTTAAGCCAAGGAAAATAAATGAAAAAAGTAGGTACAAACTATTGTTTCCTTCATTTCTTTTGAACACATAAGCTCCTCTTGTTTTACCTTCCTTGACTTTTTGTATAACTGAGCTCTGATTGATGTCTGATTAGCTCAGAGTGGGAGCAAATAAGTAGTGAGGAAGTATGGTTGATAGAATCACCTAATCTCAGAATCACAGAACATACTGAGTTGGAAGGGACCCACAAGGATCATTGAGTCCAACTCTTAGCCTGCACAGAACCATCCTCAAGAGTCACACCATATGCCTGAGGGTATCATCCAAATGCTTCTCAAATTCTGTCAGGCTTGGTGCTGTGACCACTTCCCTGGGGAGCCTGTTCCAGTGCCCACCCACCCTCTGGTGGGATATCCAGCCTAATATCTCCCCTGACACAACTTCAGGCCATTCCCTCGGGTCCTGTCACTGGTCACCACAGAGAAGAGATCAGTGACTGACCCTCCTCTTCCCCTCACAAGGAAGTTGTAGATTGCAAAGAGGTTCCCCCTCAGTCTCCTCTTCTCCAGGCCGAACAGAGCGAGTGACTTCAGCTGCTCCTCATAAAGCTTCCTCTCAAGGCACTTCACCATCTTTGTTGCCCTCCTTTGGATGGTCTCTAATTGCTTAGTGTCTTTCTTATACTGTGGTGACCAAAACTGCACACAATATTCAAGGTGAAGCTGCCCCAGCGCAGAGGAGAGTGAGACAATCACCTCCCTCAACTGGCTGGTGATGCTTTGCCTGATGACCCAGGACATGGTTGCTACAGTGCTGTATGCTAAAGCTTTACAGTTCCTGGTCCTAGTAAAGAGGAAAGGCTTTTTATTTTGGTCTGTTTCTTCAGTGTTTTATGTTTGGTTTTGGTTTTAATTCTTGACTGATATACACACAAAACTGATCCTGATTTTTCTTGGTTATCATCTGCTTTTTCTTTTTTTCTTTCCTTCTCTGAACTCATCCTCTCTGTTCCCTCTCAACACCTGTTTGGTTAAGTAGCCATTTCCGTAAAGTTTTGAGACACAAATATGAACTGACACTACTAGTCCCCTGACAAAGGCATTTCTAATGCTTGAACAACTCCTGGCTGTAGAGCTAAAGCAGAGAAAAAAATAATTTTTTTTCCCTTTCTGACAGAGATTCATTCCCAAATTAGAGAGAGATTACATCAAAATAATTGTTCTGATGATTTAAGATATCAATGATAAGCATGTTGATAGTAAACAATATTTTTTTGTTCAATATGCAGTGGCTTTATTTGCTATGACAGTTGTGCTAAAGAGTTATTCTAAACCAGTAGCCCCTTATCCTAGTGTGTTTTTTCCAAAAGACTAGTATTTATAAGAGCTGGGATTCTGACTTCTTCTCTTTTTCTTTAGGCTAAAGAGTGTTTGCTCAGGGATTGGATACAATCCATTATGGTTATTAATGCAAAGTAATCTGGAGAGCATGATCAGTTAATTAAGTCTATTAGCTATGATCACAAGCATTAGGATCTCATCCTCTGATATTTCTTTAAGGAGGAATACATCCTGTAAATAGCCAGTGCTCCACTGATGTGAAAGAGTTGGTATCAGCTGGTATCAGGTGAGAAGGAGGAATTGCTTCCAGTTAGATATGATAAAAAATGACAAAACGCATTGAGCTCCAAGAGTTTTGTTCTTTGTTCCTTTGACTATAAGTTGGTGACTGCAAAAGGTACTGGGCAAGTGTCTTTGTATCCTGACCTTTAACACATGAAGAACTGTTAGACTGAGCAAGACACTTGAGATGCTTATTCATACTGTCTAGAGATGAGTATGTGACAGGTAAATGTCTGTGGTCTGACCTTGCTTTTAGTGTGTATTTGAAACCCATTTTCCCATCAAAGTGAAAATACTCTTGGCTTCTTTTATCTTCATTTCCAGAGTTGCCACATCTCAAGGTGACCTCTGTTAAAAGCCACCTCAGTTTGGAAGAGCATCTTCTGGGCAGTAAAGATGTGTGAATGTCTTTGAAAACACGGAGCAACTGAATGTCCATTTCTGTTTACTGTTGCAGTAATGATTTCACATGCTCCTTGGTCAAGAATTTCACCAAGCAACTGAGTCTCTGGTTGCAGCAATTCTAAAGTGATACATTGGGTGGACACACAGAAAGGATTTTCCTTTCGCACTGGACAATTTCTCAGCACATCTGCGGATGAGGTTACTCAAGTGCATTACAGGACATTCAAAATATTCATTTTTGGGAAAGCTTGTCTATTACCTAAAGAATCAGAATATCTGATACGTTGAATGACTAAAACATATTTAGTTTTAAACAAAGAGAACTTGACCATACTGTTAAAAAAAAGAAAAAAAGGAAGAAATAGAAAAGAAATGCTGTGTTTGTTCTTTGGTGTTTCCTACCATGTGTAAGTGCTATCCAGTCAGATGTGTCACTCACAAATATTTGATGTCATGATCTCTCATTTTCTGAGGAAGAGCAACGAACAGGTGTGTGAATTATTTTTTGAGGGTTTCTGTTTGTTTGTGTTTAATTTAGTTGTTCATTTTGTTGGTGCAGTGCTTAGAATAATCCTATGAAGTCAGGGCCTTGATGGGTTAAATGCAGCTTAAATGAATAACTAAATGCTTTTCTGATCCCAGAGAAACCATAATCTAAACATTAAAGGCGGGTACCGTGGTGGTCTAGTGGTTAGGGTGCAGCACTTTCACCGCTGCGACCCGGGTTCGATTCCCAGCCCCCCGGGCAGATGGAGCTCGTCAGCCCTGTAAGGCAATCCATCTAAGAGAAGGTCACTCTAAACAAACCTACGTTCTGAGACCCTCACTGCCACTGTCCAAGCTTGCTCGGCCCCGGCAGATGAACCTCAGGATTAAAGGGTGGGCTCAGTTCAGCGCACGCTGTGTCTCACCTAAAAAATCCACTGCGCAGGCTCGAAGGGTTAATGACCTTTCCCACATCTTCGCTCGTGAAGACTGGCCATTATATTTATTAAAGGCGGGTAACAGAAAGTAGGAAAAGGCAACAGACTCTCAGTCATGTCTGTAGCTTCTACTTCCCAGCTCCAGCTGTGCTGCTTAACTTGCTCTCAACAACCTGATATTTCATATAGTTTTCTCCCTTCTTGATTCCACTTGTAGTGGTTTATATCTGACTTTGCTTTTACTGCTGTAATCTGTATTGTTTATGCTATCTTCATTTTCTGTCAGCACAGCTTTCGCATTCCTGCTCTGCTGTACTGTATTGCCATATAAATAAATAAGGAGGAGGCAGCTGTAGCAAAAACTGAGCTGAGCTGGGTTTTATAAATTCCTCTTGTGAAAATTAGAAATCATTTGACTTATAAAAATTGCTTTACTGGAGGAAACAAAAGTGAGTTTTGCTGGTGCCTGGAAAGGAGCAGACACAGGCACAGAGTTTGGCAATGTTGTGCCAAGCATGTATCTCACATTAAGTTCTGGAAGAACAAAACACATAGTCAAACACCTCATCACAGATACAGATTTCTTTGTCTTAGTAACAAAAGGACAAAAATTATAATATAAACCAAAACCAGGCACCAAGTGAAAAAAAATCAGCCAAAAAAATAACATGAAGTCAAGCTTTTATATCTTTCACCATTGTGAAAGATATTCTCAAACAACTCAAGGTAAATTACTATGAATCAATCACCCCTTTAGAGAAGATATATTGCACAATAATTCTCTAGGGTCTAGTTCTATAACATACTTTTATAGGAAAGCTCGGTGTTTCTCTTAGATGAGTACTTCCTGTTTCTCATAAGAAATCACTGGGATAGATATCACTGACTGAATAAGCTGCTTTTGTTTAGCATTTTCAATACTTTAACACTGTCATTATAGCAGAGAAGTGCGGTACTTCAGAAAGCAAAGGGGATATTAAATTGTGGGGAGAGTGGAAGAAATTACGGACCATCCAATGTATACACTTGACAGTACATTGTTGAGCTTGGAGGAGCGAATTTGAAGGAAATGCATGTCTGAGTCTGAGCTATATAATTGAACAGTTATAGGTCTGGGGTTGTAACCTCTTGTAATGGTGAGCTGTGCCTGGGTCACTCAGAGCTTGTACCACCAGGCTGGACCCCTCATCCTCCTCTCCTGACACAAATGAGATATATCCGAGGGGGAGCATCAAGCACTTCCAGTAAATTACAATTCATCCTGATTTGGGTCTCCCTCACTGTACCAGTCCTCTTCTGGTCCTCTTTAATTAAGCAGAATGGCCTTCACCCTTCAGTATTTAGCATACTCATCTGAATTGCCCCTTAGGTCTGTCAGATAATATGTACTTCTCATTTATTGGTCTTTGTCTGTTGTGGAAATAATGTAGTGTTACTTTAAATATCACCAGGTGGACATAAAATGGGCAACGGGGCTGCAAACAAGAAAATATTAACAAGCCCTGAGGTGCTTAGTGGCAAGGAGGTGTAACTATACAACTCCCTGAAAGTCCTGCCTTGATTTAACAGAGGTGGCTGCAAAGAATTATTTCTCAGGGTGCACCTCCTGTTTATTTCCTTGTTAATGCTCTCCCATTGCTGGTTGGATTTTTATCATTCTATTCTCGCCTTTAGAAAATGAGCAGGTTGGAGTATAAAGTGGGAAGTGCTGCACAAAACTCCCCAAATCCTTACAGCCTACAAAAATAAAAAAATCCCTCCAGTTTCTGTTGTAATTCTGCATGCAATGTCAGCTTGTGCACTTTGAAACACACGGATAGAAGTCTGACCCAATTAAAGCCACTGAGAATTTTTGATGTGGAGTCCAATGGCCAGAGTATTGATCCAAGTGTCTGACATGCAGGCTTCTTGACACAGTAATACTAATCTTTATAGAACAATTACAAAACATCTTGGAAACGTAGGATGTCTCTCTATATATGTATATATTATTAATTTTTGTGAGACAAATATGAGATAAATAAGGATAGTGATCTTTGAGGGAATAGATAATCAGCTTTTTTCAGCTAATCAATATAATACCATTAAAAAAGTATGTCCCTAATATCTGCATAAATAAGAAATTAAAAGAATGTACTTGTTAAGTTTAAGTTAGAAGTTGTTTTTGCCTTTTTTTTTTTTGTCCTTAGGAAATGAATGAAGAGGTGTGATCCATCTTTTAGCAAAAACGTAAGTGAGAGAATTTCATTGGGTCCACAGAGAGATCAAACACAAAAAAACACAATAACAGGAGAAGAATTGGAAGAAGCTGAATGAGTCAGAGTGGTGCAGAATGGTTTCCTTAATCTCCATCATGTGTTTCTGCTAAATAACTCCTTATTTTACCTTTCATAATAATACTGTGACAGGTCTTAAATTGTTCATCTCTTTTTTCAGATTGTATAAGAGCTATAGGGAATGTGGCAGAATACACAGTTATTGTAAATGCAGACGCTGCAAATGTAACATCTGTTACCAGCTTCATTCACATTTCATGCTCTAGACATGAAAATAATCTTAATAATTTCTATTATATCTATATAAAGATAAGCAGACACATTCCCACTGTGGGAAGGACCATTTTGGCCAAATATCTAGAAGCAAACTGGAAAGATGGTTGTTTTGCAAGGTATTTCACTGAGAGGTTTCACTCCGGATTTCTCACGTCTTTAAAATATAAATTTTAGTGTTACAGTGGCATAACAAAAAACTGGATCTTTATCTTTTTGGACTAACCTATTTCATAATAATTTCTATATCACAAGAGCATGCATTGAGCATGCATTAACAGAAATGTGTGACTTTCTGTAGTATACATTAGGTAAAGTTGCATGAAGAGTTTCAGTGTATAGCTATAAAAACTGCAGCTGCTTGCTGCCCAGATTCACTGGCCAGAAGGTGGAGCTTTCAACCATAGATGTTCAAATCAGGAAAGAAAACATGGATATGAGCTATGTTAACACTTTTCTGCAGTGATTAATAAAGGAAAACAAATAATTCTGCGTATTTTGCTAAGTAAAACACAGACAGATAAGAGGCCACCACAGTCTGGAAAGAAGCAAGTATAAAATGGAATCTTCTTTCTTATTTAACGCTTTTCTTCACCTTACTGTCTGCACCAGGTTTCTTTTCCTGATTGCAGCACAGTGGTAATGTAGCTTAGAAAGGAAGAGTGACAACTTGTTCTACCTGTATGAGCAAAGGGACTTTACCTGACTGCAGAATTCCCGTTGGTCACGCTGTTGTCCAAGTTTGGTTTACAAAACAGCATTGCAAAAGAAGACAACAAACTGAAGTGTGTGTGGCCCCTGCCCTTGAAATGGCATGTTTCTGAACATCTGCTTTGGCTTCCACTGATGATCCTTAAAACAACAACAGAGGAAAAGGTGTTTGCAGTTATTTTGAAATGTGTAGATTGCATGTGGAAAAGGTAGAAGGAAAGGACAAATTTGCCCCTGCAAAAAGTTTTGCTTTCCGTGTAAACAGAAGAATAGGAAACCTAGAGACAGCATCTGAGTAGCTGACACTATAGGATTACACACATATGCATGTGCACTCAGTGCCTCATTAGACACATATATACCACTGTTCCACTACCCTCCAATGACTTTGGCAGATCTTAAGGAACTCCCTTGTGGTTTAAATCTCTGCTGCTCAATTTCTGCACCTTCCCTACACTTACAACTGTTATCATTTCACCTCTGACTAGTTTTATTGCACTCAGTGGTGTTATTTGCATAAGTAAAGTTTATTAACATACTTACCTAAATGTTTGCAAATTCAAGTCAAGAAAATTATCTTCTAAATGTTTGATTTGAAATTACACTCCTTTGATTAGAACTCTGCTCTTAGCCTTTAATAAATCTCATTGAATTGCTTGACCTCTAGATGATCATCCTAATTATCATCACCCTTTTCATGGTAATTAATTATTTGATGGGAGATTTGAGTTAATGGTGAAATGGAAGAAAATAGGAAGGTTCATAACTAGGCCAATATTTTTGGTGAATGCTGACTGTATTAATAACAATTAAGCATAACATTATGTACATATAAATGCTTTTGTTTGTCTTGATTAAATAAGCAATGTTCTTGCACACCCCCCCCATGTATTTTAGGTTCAGTAGCTAGCTTTCTTCAGACTTCAATAGAATTAACTTTCTGTTCCAGTTCTTGAGAATCTCTTCAGATTGGGTCTTTAGTTGTGTTCTTAATGAACTTTTTAAGTTTTTTGTAGTTCTGTTGATTGAAGCAAGTTAATTTTGGACTTTGCTGATTGGGAATACTGTCAAATGCTTCCCTGGGGCTGAAGTGAAAACTAATAAAGATATGATATCTTTAGAAATCTATGAAGGTTCTTAATCCTCAGGGTTCCTATGTCACTGTCCTTGAATATTCCGTGAGAGTGAATTTTTCCCTTTCTCCCCATGCAGAAAGTTAACACAAGTCTATGTAATATTTAAACACTGCTTGAAAAACTTTGGTATATAAATGGTGTAGATTTTACTTAGAGTGAATCGTAACCCACTGGTCTAGTCATAAAGTCCTTTCTCTGTTATTCTTTTCAGGGTTTTTTTTGCCTTTGTAATGGCTTCAGACTGAGATATATGGTAATAGAAACTTTGGCATTTTCTATTAATATGGATAAAGAGATTATTGCTATAAAGAGAGAAAGCTAAACAATGTTATCACTTTCTGAAGATTATATAGTTTATTAAATTTATCTAATCCTTATTAATTCCACACCTAGGGGATTTAAATTGATGGAATGCTTTGAAACAGACTTTGGATACAGGATGAATTGAACTATGTCTGTTCAGAATAGGCCTAAAAACCTCTTTGGGGAAGATCCTTTATCTTTCCATTTGTATATGCACGTACCTACCTCCTACTTTGGACTATTAATAAATAAATTTCAAAACCATAGAATTTGCCTAATAAGAAAAGTCAAGTACAGTCAAATCCACACTGTGGATGAAAAAAGGACTTTCAAAGCCATGGCTATGTAACATAACTTACAGCACAAATGCCACAGAAACTCTGCCTAATAGAATTCTATTCCCCATCCTCTTGTTAAAAATGCACCTGTTCATAAGAGATAGCTCTGTTCTAGGGAAGTATTACTCAGCCTCATAATTTTTCTTTGTCTTCTTTTTTGTCACCGTCATACTTGATGCTGCAAAGGCTGAAAAACAAAGGTCTCCAGAGGCTGGCATGGAGATATTTATTCATCATGTACAAAGAGGACTGTAAGCAGCTTCAGTCTTTTACCTGTCCAAGCAGGGTCACCCCATCTTCTGTCTACATTCAGAGGAGGGTACTAGCTCCTTTACAGGGTGATTAAGCCCAGCCAAAATCGTCTAATGGAAATTTGCTTTTCTTTTCATTGCCTATAGTAAACATTGAGGATGAGCTTTTATTCCCTGTGGTAGCAGAGCTCTGTTAATCACAGAATGAAATTCAGTGTGCAAACTCAGAAGTAGGCTGTACAGAAAGCATCACAAACACATCAGAAGGCATTAGAACTGAATCAACTTACACTAACAGAGATCAAACCGAGCATGTCTGGCATGATCTGGTGAATACAGCTGATGAATGGGGCAGCCATTTTAAGGATTTCAGTAGAGAATTTCCATAAGAATATTTATTTCATCAGAAAATTACATTTTGATCAAAACCAAATATTTTCCCAGTAACTTGTCCATCCAGGTAAAATTCAGAGATTAAAAACCAGAAAATGTTCTCAAAATGGAACAAATTAAATTTTTTGTTGAGTTTTTGTTGATTTTTGTTTGTTTGTTTGTTTGAGTTTTTTCCAGAACTAATTTTGTTTAGAGGTGTTCTCTTGTGTTAAAAATGTTATGCTTTAAGCACAGAAGTTAAATCGAAAATCAGGCTTCTGAGTGATTAATCAAATTCTTACTAGCACTTTTTTCTTTTTTTTTTTTTCTTGGAAATATTGAATTACCTTCGTTTAATTAATAGCATGAATGGATACAGCTTTCACTGTCATGAGCCTTTCCATGAATAAAAATCTAGGATCTTGCACAGCCTTGTTACTGTTTTTCCCAGAAGAGAGGCTGACGCAGGCAAGGACTCTCTCAGGACATATGTGCACAGATGGGAACAGGCAGACTCAATCTGCCTTTGCTTTATGGTCATATTGGCACAGAGCTGTTTCCCTCAAGATAACCTTTTGAATTAGGACAGTGGGGCTATAAACTGCTGAGCATAATCTTGGGAGCTCCCAGCTTGTCCTGCTGCATGTGTATAGGCAGGCTAAATCCCACATCCCGGGTTTCCAGGCAAATGTGTTGTGGGTGAAATGAGTGGTGACAGTAGGGGTTAAGGTGTAGCAAGATGACAACAGGGCATGGGAAAGAGGACAAGGAAATTTGTACAATTTGGATACTGTTTTCCAGTGCCTGAAAAGGTTAAGACTGCCTACGGGAAGAAACGGAGCTTGATTTGGTTGCTGGGTTTTGGATTTGTTTACCTGGTTTTGTTCCTTTTCATGACAGCAAGTGTTGGTAGCTGATAGTAACTTTGTGAGAAGAAGGAAAACAACTAAATGGTTAGTAGTTTATGGGGTAGTTAGTAGTTTATGGGGGAGTTGCTGGAGGTACTGGAAAGGACACTTTGCACTGCACACTTCCCAGGGGACAGGTAACACCAGTTATTCTCCTGTGGCCAGACAGGGACAATCTTTATGGATCAGCATCACTTATAGCCAGCTGTTGAAAAGCTCTGTAGTGGTTAATTTCTCAGCATTTGCTAAATGCTACCAGTCAGCTCTCTGCTGTAATAGATGTGGCATGGGAGAAAGCAGACATAATCCCCACTGCAAAGAGTTTAGGATCTAAATAATCTGCTGCAGTTTATCAGGCTCTGAGTGTGATAGCAACACAATCAGCAGCAGATGAGTAGCTCAGTGATGGTTATCAGCAGATGTTCATCCTCAGCCTTGTGGGATTGAAAACTAAATGATTAATAATTCCCATTTTAAAGTAAAACACATTAACTGAGAAATCAGGATTTGCTTAGCTTTTGCTGAGCATTAGTGTAACTGAGATAAAAAGAAATAAATAAAGTAAGTTACAGTGCTGCAAGGCAAAGGTTAGCTATGATTCTATTCCCTATTTACTGAGGATAAAGAATATTCTTTGGAGGAAATTCAGAAAAAAATAGGAATGTGAATTTCAAACTAACTTGAATAATGGAACTGGCCATTACATTGAATTCAGGTAAAAGGATTATCCTTAAATACTAGATCAAGGCAGAAGGCTAGCAGTTGTTCTTATCAAATGTATTTAACTCCTGGAAAATTGTTTATTTGATGCAATCAGCACAAAATTGATATAATCACTTTTACATTAAAGAAAAGCATCATGTGAAATTACCTAAGGAATCAGTGAGGGGACAGGGCAAGTAATGAAAGACTTTTTTTGCACAGTGGGAGTAGGGAAACATAATCTTTCTGTAAGGACAGACAGGAAGTAGTCCGTTGTCTTATAGTGCATACTTGTCTGAATGACGAACAATATAATGTACTTTAAAGTGTTGATGGAGCATTAATATAAAATTAAGAATGCCCTTGTCAGGAAATACAATAATTCATTCTTTACTCTGTCACCATGTCCCCAGACTAGAGCCACATGCTGGTGGGACTACCAAAGAAGGTATTGAAGCCATCTTGTCTTTTCTCAGAGCCTACACATGAACATATCACCTCTCTCCCCATGGAGCTTGATATGTTGTTCCCAACATCTGTCAATGTGGCTCTACAACTGCTAGCTGGAGCTGCCATTGTAAAACCTGCTTGTGGAAATCCATACAAACATTTCTTCAGTGTTGTATGGCAAGAATAACAGACTGATTACACTTGGTCAGATGAAAGGTACACCTGACTCAGCATTGAGTCTGGCACCCAGACTGCTGCCTTTTTTTTTTTTTTTTTGTTTCCCATATCAACACCACAATACTACCATGAAGACCTTGGCAAGTTCAAGAGTGACTAGAAGATTTTTGGGGATAGGTGAAGGGCATAGAAAACCAGGTACAGATCTGGTTTGCCCTTCCTGGCTGCTGTTACCAGAAAGTCTGTTTGGCTTCTTGACTGGAATTCTCTCAATAAAATGTGAGTTTCTGGGAAGAGGCAGAATCCACCAATGAAATGTGAAAAGAAAAACTTTGCCAACAGACTTTTTAATTTGCTGAGGAGATCTTAAATTAGCTTTGCTGGAAGACAGACATAAAAGCTTAAGTGAAAAGAAAAGGGCAGAAATTAGGCATTGAAAGGCATAACTTGGTAGTTTCCTATATTCTTCTGAAGAAAAGGAGGTGAGGAAAAGCCCACTTGACATGCCTTTGCTTAAGTGCATGCAGTTTACACAACTGGAGTGATGTGACAGGTGTATAGAGTCTCTTTCGAATGACAGGCAAAGAAGATAAAGGGCAAAGTCATGTAGTTGCAAAAAGAAGCAGGTCAGACACATGTATCTTCTGTGTCATGTTAAAAGGAGAGACCAACAGATGTTATGGTGGGTGTCTGATATTGACCACCTGATCAAGAGGAGGAGGCAAATGAACTCTTCTTTAAACAATTGGAAAAAGTTTTATGATTGCAGTCCTTTGCTCTCACAGGAGATATTAGAAACTCCATCTTCTGGAAAGCAATATATTGGAATGCCAGAAATCTAAATTTCTGGAGTGTATACTAGTGTTTACTCAGGCGTTGAATGGGCTGATTAGAATATGTTTTCTGATGGAGCTGTAGGTCCAATAAGGACTGAGAAGGTCAGAGGCAGTGCTGGTTTTACTGACCATGACATGCTGGAGTTTTAGATCCTGAGGAAAGGGAAGAAAGTGAGTACATAACTAAAGGCTCTGAACTTTAGAACTTTTAAACTTGAAAACTAAACACACTCACTTTCACACTGAAGTGTGAACTTCAGCTTGATCAGGTATGTGATGGACATGGTATCATGCTGTATTATTCTGAAGGGGAAAGGATCATGGAGAACTTAAGCTCCACCTACACAGGTCTCTGCCATCTGCTAAATACATCTAAGGGAGCTGAAGGATATTGTTGCTATCAGGGATGGGACATCTGTCACCTCTCTGAGCAACCTGTTTCGGTGTTTTATCACCCGCATTTCATGGCTGCTCTTTTTTAATGTTTTAAATATTGTGATGGTCGAGAGAGGTTCCTTATGACTAGAAAAAACAAACAACACACTCATCTTGAGGATGGCCAGGAAAGAAGACCTAGGGAACTAAGGCTGGTCAATGTTATCTCATGCTCTTGGAAGATTATGGTGACAATCCTTATATGAAGGACTAGAGGATGACTGTGAGAAACTAGCAAGGATTTATGATAGTTAAATTTTGCCTGAACAAACATATTGCCTTCTACAATAAGAGAGGATTAGTGGGTAAGCTGTAATCAGTGGACTTGACTTTAACCTGCCCGCCCGCCAGAACCTCCTTATGGCACGGGGCTGCCCCTGGTCCCGCGGCGGGGCCGCCCCCTTCCCAGGATCACTCTTGAGGAGAAAAGACAATGCAGAAAGAACGTGTCTTGCA